TTAATCCCGATTGATCTCTCGCCGTCTCCTTCAAGAGAACTCGAGGTGAAGAAGTCCTGGATTCTCCTTCCTCTGGACCTTCCACCGCCAGTAAGAGAGAGACCGCCGAGGAGCTGCCTTCAGCCTGGAGACCCAAGGATCGCCGGATACCACTCGCCGACCATAGTAGATCATCGGAGAGAGGAAGCCATCTCCATCGCAGAAGACGACAAATTCTGGGAGAGACTGCAGAACACCAAGGCGACACAGACGGAGAAAACCCTAGACCGAGAGGAAACCAGCCTACTCTTCGCCGACAGGGTCTTGGGTCCAAGGAAGCTAACTAGAACGTATCCGCCGATCTATTGGAGGGAGAGCATTCGACCCACTTTGTGAATAAGTCTTGCAAGACTAGCAGATACGCGTGTCCCGTTCGGCTCACCGGTCCCATAATGTCTGCCGCGACTACCGTCCACGGCGACTCGATAACGCGCTGTCCCACAGGCCGGCCGGCACGTCCTGCTCGACCTTCGTGCGTTGACACGTGCCGCACCGGCGCACGTAGTTAGCAATATCCTGAAACATTCACGGCCAATGGTACCGCGTCGCGACGCGTTGATACGTTTTGTCGACCCCGAGATGGCCCGCGTGCGGCGGGTCGTGATTCTCGCGAATAGCCGCGCGGCGCGATTCCTGTGGCAACACGAGCTTCTACTCGTCGCGATCTCCGTTCACCTCCAACATCGCGCGCGGCTTGCGAAAGTATAACCCGTCGTCTCGCACGCGCCACTCCGGATGTCTCTCCGGGTGTCTCATCACCGCCTCTATGCGATTATTGTACCACTCGTCCGCGGTCACTACGGCAGCGCAAAGTTCTTCGTCGGATTCATACATGCGCGACAACGCATTCGGCACGTGATGCATGGCCCCTTTCCGATGTTCGATCTCGTACTCGTACTCGAGCAATTCAAGAGCCCATCGCGCTAACCTGCCTGACGGATTTCTCAGGTTATGCAGCCACCGTAGGCTGCTAAGGTCTGTGATAACTTTAAAGGTGTACCCCTCTAGATACGGGCGGAACTTCTTAATTGCCCATACGACCGCGAGGCATTCCTATTTAGTCGTGAAATACCTTTTCTCGGCCTCCGACAGCGCGCGACTCGTGAACGCGATCACGTGCTTAGATCCTCCGACAGTCTGCGCTAACACCGCTCCCAATCCAACCGAGCTCGCGTCCGTCTGTAAAACGAACGGAAGACCGAAATCCGGACACGATAGTGTAAAAACTAAAAAAAATCTATGTAATTTTACATAGAAATTACTAGTTTACAACTGAAAAATTACTTAATTATGACTGGAAATTATTTTTTCCAGATTTTTTAAAATAAAAATGCATATTAAAAATAAAATATATGTAAAAGTACCATTTTTATGTAAAAATAACTAGTAATTTTAAATTTAAGCGGTATTTTTACAATGTAGAAATGGAAAAATACAGTTTTATGCGAAATTACAGAAAAAATAAAATTTTACATTTATTGTGTGATTATTGTAGCCAATCGGATGTGGAAATACAAAAAATAATGTACATATCTACTGGGTAAATGTAAAATTAATATGAGAAAATACAAAAAATTAAATATATATTTACCGGGTGAATGTAAAATTAATATGTGGAAATACAAAAAATTAAATGTATATTTACTTAGTAAAAGTACATTAGGTCACTCTAAATTTTTAGGAGTGAAATTTATCACTCTTTGCTGGAGCGAATAGGAGATCACTCCATTTGAAGTCAATTTTGACTCTTACGGAGTGAATGTGTTCACTTCTTGCAATAGAGTGAACAAATTCACTCTTATTATAAGAGTGATTTAGATGCCCGATTAACATCCACTCCTACAAAAGTGAAATTTCAGTTTGATAAGAGTGAATGTTTTTCCCGCGTGAAATACTTGGGATTGGCAACCGCCGGTCATCGTCGGAACTTCATCGTCTTTGTTTCTTTGTCGCCATATTGTCGCCGGCTTATTTTTTCACGTCCTGTGCAGTGTGCAGTTCTGTGTTTTTTTACATAATATTCGAGTTCGTATCGAACAATAACATATACTAAATAATAAAACTACATAA